CTCGGACACCTGGGAAGCCCGAACCACCACCACCACCACCACCACCACCGAGATCGGGATCATCTTGCCGTGGTGGGGGCACACCGCCGATAGTGGTGTTGGCATCAGCCTCTCAGCCTCCGAAAATGGGAGGGGACTTTCTCAGGGGCGAGGGGCGACACCGACATGGGACCGGCGACACATATATAGACGAGCGCGTTCCACTACTCGCACAGTAACTGCTCGCAAATGGCCTGGATCCGCCGCGGAGAATCTACGACAAATTACATCGAAACGGGCATGCGTTTTGGGGACGTGTGCGAGTAGGCACTTTGCGAGCAGTGGAACGCGCTCGGTGAACACAGCCAACGCATCAGCAAGAGCCCCCGAGGGCGAAGCCGCGCGCTCCTGGGGGGCGGCTGGCGGTCCATGATTCCCCCCTGTGGCTGCCCCATGAGGGTTTTGGGCGGGCGCCTGCGGTCGCTGCGCTTGCCGTGCCTCGTGCGGCCGTGACATTCTCGAGCTTGAAGGGGCCCCAGGACACACAAATAAATGCACACAAGTAAAAAGATTCCCCATAGTTTCCCATATTTTCTGGGTTTCTGTCTTCCCCCCCACTTCCCATGTTTTCCCATATTTTCTGGGGAATCGACGATTAATTGTGTCTGTGTGTTTTTTTCCCTCCTGATTGCCGTGCCTCGTGCGGCCATGACATTCTCGAGCTTGCCGTCTCCGCGGCGCCTGCACCAACTTTTGAGCGCGCGCGCGCCGACCCGGCCACCCGCGCTCGGGTCGGACGAGAAGGATGTGGCAACGGGGGGGGGGCTCGCGAAGCAGCTCACGCAGGCGGTCATTCCCTGCGCTTCCTGGCCCCCGAGAAGCCTCGAGAGGCCTCCGAGACGCCCCAAAGAGGCCTCCAAGACGCCTCCAAGAGGCCCCCCAAGAGGCCGCCAAGAGAGGGGGAGGGAAGAAGAGGAAAGGAGGAAAACCACGAGGAAGACTTGACTGAGAGAGACACCTCGACACAAAGCGGAAGAGCGTGTCACATGTTACGGCTCCCCCACAGCTCGGAACACGAGGAGTCACGCATTACGGTTTCCTGTGCGCTTGTTTCCCAGTCGCCACCTACAATTCTTGGCTGGCACGGCGGCGTGACTTGCCACAGGCAGTTGGATACAAGCCACGCGCTGGTCAGGAATGGCCTCCCCCCGGATGCGGGGCGAGCCGAGAAGGGAGCGGGACGGGACGGACTCCAGAGGTCTCTGGGCGCCTCCAGACCCACCCCCCGAAGCGCCTGCTCCTGCCACGCTGAATGTGGCATCGGGGGCGCCCAGGAGGGGGGAGGAAGAGAGGGGATGGCAAACCATGGCCCGTGGCAGGTGCGCGAACGAGGGGCGCCCCGCGGACG